TGTTGACAATACAGCTCTCTACGCCACCGTATCTCGTTGAAAATCACCACGAGTTAAACACACCCTGCAGTCTATGGATTCTCATTCATATTTGAATACATGGTTGTGCGCCCGGGACATGTACTACACCAGTCAAATACCAGCGTCAAAATATTGTGAAGCAGGACGACTTTAATCGATCTTTGTCGATGGGAAAGCCATCTAGCATCTATTTCAGGATCCACTCGCAGTCGATACGAGGTGCTGGGCTTGACCAGAGGGACGCCCGAAACGCTCTCAACCGTGACGAGTGCCTTCCAAAGCCTTAAGCTAAGCTAGCTGCGGTGACTGTGCTCAGGTTCGGTTCTTGAGGGTCTATAAAGGAAGTAAACAGTAAACGACTCGGCGGTGCACATACATTCTCATACCTCGAATGTCTCCGTATCATATCATGGCTCGTCAGTCCGTATGGCACGTTGATTTATGCGACTGCACCTCAATCACTGTCAGGAGCCGCTCATGAATACGTCCAACCTTTTCTGTGCGGCTAATCTGTTTGTTGATCGATATACCTTCTATCTAACATGGAAGATTTTGCCGGAGAGACAGTCTGCCATGGTTTATCTAGCTGCAAATCTCAGCGAGAGGCACAAAGCAAGCTTTCTTGCCTGGGCTCGCCGAGTTTTTTTACGTGGTTGCTACCCGATGTCCGAATATTGAACAAACACGATGTGGGCATGACTGTCTGCCTCTGTGGGATGGTGTTCTGGGCACTTCACTGACTTGCCTGGAATTCTGCGTTCCCGAAACAGGTACAGCAGACACCATGGTGTGCGGCATTCTTTGTAATGAATTCTGTCCCACTGATATTTCCCATCTTCTGTTCCATCAAAGCTTTCCGTCACAAATACAGTCACAAAACATTTCACAGTTCTCGTCCTAGCCTCAAACTCAGGCTGATTTCTTTTCCCTTTCTAGCTTCACACGCAGCGGCACGCCTCGTCGTACTAGGGTTGTTTATATCCTTGAGCTTGCGATCACCTCCTGCTGGCGTTTATGATGCTATTTGCTGGACCAATCTTGTTCCCTATGTGTAGCTTCTTCGCTTTGTTACTTCCTCTCAGACCCGCAAAAATTTTAGGGAGTTGGTCTTCTTTCATGTTTCTTCCGTCCTAAACAATTCGCTAATTTCATTTTGTGCGCAAGTACATCAGCAGGAACATCAGTAGGTGAGATTTTGCAATTGTGGGTTGACTACCTGTGTTGTTCTTGATCACGCGGATGGTGATTACACTTACCCTTCCGATGGGAGGTTTGCATTACTCCATGTATTGGCGACCATAAGCTTCCCAGCATCCTCACAGGTGGTGTGGCAGGCGGATTAAGGGGGAAATGGGGGACAAGGGATGGGTGTGTTTCACGACAGATCACGGCTAGTCATTATTCTCAGCAAGAGCAGATCTCTCATAATGCTTGATGCTACTATGCTTGCAAGTGCATTGGATAGCTACTCTGCCAGTCTGAGAGTAGAGTACATACTTGTGCCAAGTGAATATGATTACCAGTTTAACGCACCTGTCGTCTGAATTATCCATTCGATACAAGTCTGACGAAAAGTGCGCTGGGCAAGGTCCAGTTATCTCGCTGTACACTCGTTGAAATAACTCTCCAGCTGCTGCTACAAATTCCAAAGCATAGGTGCAATTTGACGTCGAAAACGGTCCTACCCATAAAATCAGAACCAAAAGTCGCCACTTACTCCTCCATCTCATCACCCTTCCCGCTGCTCGCACCAAGCGTCGCCCAATTCTCGCTCCACCGTGGGTACACGCGCTTATACAACGACATACACACCGTATCCATTTGATTGATAGGCCCATCGAAATGCGCCTTGAAATACCCATGCGTCCCGAGTGACTCCCTGATATGTCCCGTCCGCCCATGTTTTGTGAACAGCTGAATAGGCTTAAAATACTGGATGTCGTCTGTGCCAGAGTGAATGTGTGAGCACGGGGAAAAGAACAAAGAAGAGGAACAACACAAACCTGGGTTGAAGAACATGTACCGCACCGTAGCGGTTTTTTTGTGCACTTTGAACGGGTGGCCCGTGAGGATGATTCGCTTCGCGATGATACGTGTCGTATCAGGATTCATGAACGTGCCCATCGCCACGAGCTCCGGCGCTGTTCATTTCAGTTAGTCAATCACTTATTGTCTCTCCGCTGGGAGAACTGGCGCACTTTGTGGATTTTGCGTCTCACGTAGGAGCATGCACGGCTGCTTCCCGAACATAATTGGTGCGTAGACGCTCGCGACAGTCGTAGTGCCGTGCCATAAGAACCTCTCGAATTTGTGGACGTTGTTTGCGCCTTTTCCGCCGCCGCGAGTGTGGTGAGAGTACACGGGGTTGACGCGTAGCCTGCGGGGTCCGTAACACAGGATCAGGGGGTCCTTTGGGGAGTTCAGTTGTGACTAAGTAGGAAAAGGCCCAACAGACGACGGACCTTTGATCTAACAGAACCTTCACACTCTGTGTTCCGCTGTACGGTAAAGTGTAGGACTGTCTTCTTGTGCTCGTGTTTCAACAATCCGTATATCACAAACGGTGACTCGGAGGGCACGCTGGCTTCGGGCGAGACACCCTCAATAAAGATTGTTACACGCCTTCCAGGCTGCAGTAATGTTTTTAGCGATTATTTGGATAGTAATGAGCGGGGAATTTCCAACCTCAATCCCGTTATCCTCCAATTCGTGCCATATGTCCCTTTCGGTACGCTTGAAGTCCTCGAACTCGAATATCCGTGCATAATCGCTAGGCAGGTTCTCATACGGGTCCCACGGACTCGTGCGGAGCGATCGAAGCCCACGGAACCGCGCAAACCGTGTGCATGCAGGGATGTCTTGTGGGGTGTCAATTTCATCTGGAAATGCTTGGGCATCTTGTTCTTCTTGGGAGCGCTTGCGCCATGATGTAAGCCTTGGTTGGTTCAACAAATGTCACTCTTGCGAAAGTACAACTTGATAAAGAAGAGGACGTACTGCTTTTGTTCTTCTTCTATGTCAAGTTCTTGGAACGCGATCACACTTTTGCGCTCGCTTTCCATGTCCAGCGCATCGTCGAGTACCATCTCCTCGTCCTCATCTATTCGCCCTCCTCCCTCCTCCGCCCCGCCCTGGTCCTCATCCTGGTCCTCATCCTCGCTCTCATCCACGATCCACGAAGCTTGATACTCAGTCATACCCTTAGGAATGCGCCTGATACGCTTCGGCGTCGTGCCTTTCTTTGCATCTGGTACCTCACCCTCCCCAGTGCCTTGCAGTGCACCCGCCATCTCCTCTTCCGTCGGCCATGTTTGTTCGTTCGCCATATCGTCTGCAACGTTTGTGCTCACCATGGAGTCAGCGGAGGATGGGACGCGTTCAGCGAGGAGCACAGGCTCAGCTTCTACATCCATACCACCAGACTTGGCATGCTTCGTGCGAGGGAGTGGAGCAGACATAATCTACAGCCATTTTAAATCCACCAAACAGATTGATCCACCCGCCGATGACTCACCTTCGAAACTAGATAATCCCCATGGTTAGGGATATGCACGAGCCGATCGGGGCTAAGTCTTCCCCCACGAACGACACCCGTCACCTTCAACACTCCGCCCTCGCCTCGTTCCACACTCTCACCTACCACCCACGGCCGCCCTGCGCGCCACTTGACCTCGCCAGGACACCCCTCTGCGAGGGCTCGCAGGGTGTTGAGTGAGTCTGCTGGCGCACTGAGATCGAACACTCGGCGCTGGGTGGGGTCAAAGTATTGTATGAAGGAGAGGAGGCTTTTGAGTACTGCTGGTTTGGCCTTTGCATCGATGTATTCCGTGGTCGTAGGCGGGATGGCTGCGATGACTGTAGGGAGGCCTTGTGCTTGGAGCATGCGGAGGAGGGTGTCACCTGCGGGGGTAACTTCGATGGTCGGGGAGAGCAGGAGGAGCGTATAGTCTGCGGCGCGGGCTACATCTAGAGCAGCGAATGGGTGAGCGAAGGGTACGGGGAGGAATTGGAGGGACGTTTTGAATCGGGATGTTCTGTATGTGTGGTTCGATCAGTGTGAGATGAAAGAGTTGAACGGACGAACTTCATGGTCCATATGTTTTTTTTCTCGTTTATTCCGTGTATCTCTTCATCTACACATTTTCCGAGGGCTTGGATACATGTTTGGGTGTCGATGTCTTCGGAAAGGGGGATGATGGCGACGATGCGTGGGGCGCCATCGATGCCGTTGAAGATGCGGGTTGCAGCGACGAGGGAGGCGCGTTTAGTGGCCTGAACTTGCTTTTGGGTGTTGCGCCTGTTGAGGCGAGCCTGTGTGACAGTGCTTACTGCCGGTGATTTTGTGCTTTGGCGAGCAGTGCGCCCTGTCCGAGGGAAGAAAAAAAAAAGTGCAGAAAGACTGAGATCAAAATCAGTAAGTGAATGATTGGAGAACCGCACCTTTTGCGATATCTTTAAGAGCAGATTTAGTGGCATGATGAGATTTGAAGGGTTTGTTTTTCTGTAGTAAGATTAGATGAGATGTGATTTTGAAAGAATGAAAAGTTTAGATGAACCTGCTTGAGGGTTGATCTGTGATGGTGCGCTTCTACGACCATCGTGGAGGTGCGCACGTCTCTACGTGCAAAGCTCTTTTTCAGCGAAGAGGAGTCGGTGCCCGATTGTCTAGCTCCTGGTAAACGCGATACTAGTACTACGTGATATCGAGCCTCGAGTCCAAATTTTAGGATCTTGCTATATCCGGGAAGCACCGGGCCGTCCCACTGCAAGTAAACTAAGTACACGATGCAAAATCTTTTCATTCAGTATGACTCTCTTAGCTAGGCTCTTGCTCTGTGCGATAGATAGCCATACAAGTGCGAATGCACCCCCTAAGGTGCAGTTTCATGGAGGATCGGAAGAAAATGGATTGTAAGTGCGACGAGCATGGAGGTTGCAATTGCACAACATCAATATTGTATTCTCCTCTCAGATGCTCATCAGTCTAAAAAGCAATCAATTCAAAGTACTGTTAAAGTGATTAACATGCGTGTATCAAACCAATTGAAAACAACAGTAGGTTGACCGGCATATTCCACAATGATCCTGAAACAACTCAATCAACTATGGGCGATCAACGACACGTCGTATTTACCTCAAAACGACAGTGACTCGCACCGGATTCCTAATACATCCTCGGCGGTAGAGAGAAAGTAGTAGCAGGGTATACAAACGCGGGCTGCACAGGTACATACCCGTTTGGGAACTGTGGATAAACCATCCCCTGGTGCGAGTAAGCCTTTTGCATCTGTGGCGGCAATCCATACAATAGGGACGCGTTGCTCGGTCCAACACCCATCCCTTGCGGGAGGGAATTTTGTCGCTTGTTGTACCACGATGCTACAGGTTTTTGTCCTTCATACACGGGTGATTCTGGGTGGCGGCGGTGGCGGGAGGAACGGCCGGGGAAGTAGGCATCGACGATTTGCTCGTGCTCAACCCAGGGGAGCTGGTCGAGGTTATGTAGGAAGCGCTTGATGGGCGTAGGTCGGGGAGGAGCGAACTGCCGAGGCGAGGGAACAGTAACATAGTCAGTCACGGTGAAAGTTGTGTTGGGGTGGACAGGTTGAACAGTTAAAGAATGAGATTGTGAATGGGAACGGGAATGGGAACGTGAATGCGAATGCGAATTTGAATGTGAACGTGAATGTGAACGTGAATGTGGCTGGGCATGCGTATGAGCACGGGGAGAATGAGTATGCTCAACGGGAAAATGTGGGGGCGGATGTGTCTCGTGTGTTCCAGTTTGCTCACTTGAGCGCTCATCAACTGTTGAGAGGACTTGAGGGACAACATCCGCTCCAGGGGCATACACTGGCGATGACGCTGCTGGGGGAGGTGGTCTATGCACATATGGCTGCTGCTGATATGCATGATGCTGTGGCGATGGTTGCGGGTACGACGCGGGTTGAGGCATGTTCATCAACTCTGCAGTCTGCGCTATTCCAGTGGGTGTGAGTGGGCGCAAACGCAGGCTCGCTATATTTGGAAATTGCACATCATTCTCATGATGAGCACCAAGTGACGGCGGTGCAAAGTCATTCGATGGTGATGGTCTGTGCGGGGACTTGCGCAGTCCAGGGAACTTGCGGAGGCCTTTGACGAAGCCCCCGACCCAGCGCCGTGCACCTTTCAGCCCGTCTGTGGGGTGTTGAGGAGCGTTAGAGAAATCAAAGTCAATCTCCTCGTTGTCCTCCGGTACCTCTTCCTCGTCATACTCAGGGTCCTCCACGGTCATGTATTCTCCGATCATCGGGGAAGGCATTCTCATGCCAGACGATGGAGGACGTCCCATCATGGGGGAGGAATGTGCCATGGGGAGCGGTTGGTCTGGAAATACAGGTGTGGGGAAGTCTACGGGGTCGGATGGAGGCGGGTGCCATCGCGCATACGGGTCATTAGTTGGGGATGGAGGCTGTTGGCTGATCCAGGACACGTCTCGCACTCGCCTGGGACTGTATCTGTTTCTGTGTACGGAGCTAGAGGGGCGCTCCCCGGGATCAGCATAGTAGTGCGTGTCTGGATGACCGTGGTAGTCATGATGGTATGAGCTGGCCTCGGACATGTGCGTTGATCACGAGAAGTCAACGTTGTTACCGTCAAGGTGAGCACCTGGCAGCTGCGGAGGACACGATGTCGTGTTGTGGGACGTATGTACTATGTATAAGAATACGAGTGACTCTTGCTGGCTGGCGCAAGGAACCCAAACACAGCTCTATCTGCGCAGTCACGATCTGCGAAACAGGATTCAGAGGAATGGAATAGGATGAAACACCAAGTTAAACAACAAGGACGTACTATAAGTATATGATAGTCACTGCATCGATCGATAACTTAGTGGTATCGTTCACATCCTGAGCCTAGGCTCGAAGGTCATTTCAACTTTCCATAGTAGGTGAGTCTCCCACCACTTGGATGCCCATGGCCATTAGGTCGACTCCGACAAAAAATCTCAAGTAAGTATTTTTTGAAGTAACAACTATCTTTAAGTGATCCGATCACTCTGGAGGAGACTACGCAACGCTACTAGTAGTGACGACCGGGTTGATTTGGAGCTCAGAATCATTGCAGGGACAATTGTAATATTATGCATGGTGTGCGCACACGAGCATGGTCTCTCCTAGATCATGGTGCATAGGCAGCGAAGGAACACTGTTGACGCGTGACGGTCTAGTGGGCCGCAGCCCTTAGACTACGTACGACGTCCGTTAGTACAAATTTCAAGATAATTCCCTGGAATTTCAATTTTCCTTATATTACATAAATGTGCAGGTTTGTGCGACTTTCTGGTTGGATATTTTTAGTTGAACAGTTTGAAATTCAAATTAAGGTTGCTATTATACTGCACAGTGCAGGACCAGTCTTGACGCTATGTCCGCTATTGCCCAGAAAATTCTTGTCGTAGGTGGTAATGGGTTCGTCGGTGAGCTTCCTCGTCGATTTCGTCCGGTTGTTGGCCTAATCCAGTTCCACCATAGGTTCTGCGGTGTGCAAGGCTGCTCTTGCACGGGGTATGGGGGTCACCAGTATTAGGTATGTCTGGACTCGTTCCTTCTATCTGTCGATACCATGATTTTATATTCAGTTCATCTGGCACGCCTTACCACACCCCAAAAGGCCATACCCCAGACTGGGCGGAGAAGGTGCGTTAACACGTCCTTTTTATCTTGTACACCGCTTAAAGCCCACAAGGTAGAATGGCGAAAAGCTGATGCCATGAATCCCGACACATATGCTGATATTCTACCTGGCGTCAACGCAGTCGTGCACACCATAGGCACGCTGCTCGATAATACACGACGCAATACACTGTTTCACAACAAGGACTACGTGGGCTTGCTCAAGTCCATTACGGGGATCACCCCGGTCGAGGCACGTCATCTAGGAGGCTACGACAAACTTAATCGCGATACTGGTGAGCCTGAGTTACCCTTCACGTCGGCGGCGCATCGTCATATGTTGCACTAGCCATTCGTGTGTGCGAGGCGTTCACCGCCAGTAAACCCAGCCAAGGAATTACTGATGTCCGCCCGTTCGTCTACGTTTCTGCGGAGGACTTCCACAGGCCTGTTATATCGGTGCGATACATGGAGACCAAACTGGAGGCCGAGAGGAAAATCGACGAGATCATGAAAGATCATCCACAGTATCGAGCAGTGCACGTTCGGCCTTGTGAGGATGCATCCCCGAGCGGATACTTCTAGACGCTGACTTATTTTGTCTAGCCATGATATACGACCCCGAGACCAGGCCGATGACCATTCCAGCCAATCTCTTTACGTTCTCGGCGTGGATGCACGCAGCCATGCCGCCCTTTGTACCGATGCCAGCGTCAATCATACGCTGGCTTGGCACAAGTGTGTTCCCGAAAGCGACTGAACAGACACCTTCTGCGTTGGTATCTATTGCCACGCTGCTGAGCGTCCCACCAATTCAGGTCGACCACTTGGGGGAAGCTATCTGCGCTTCGCTGGATCCTGCTAAAAACGTGAGGGGACCTGTCGGCGTGCGCGCTATGAGGGAGCTGATTGGGTGGTCGAAAGGGGGGCCTAATATTACTTCGTCTGACTCTTAGAATGTTGTTCACTTTCCCATCTAAATATAGACTTACGCTGTCGAGAATGCTATCATATCGCTGGTTGAACTGGAGCAGGCTCGAATGACATGATACATCTTGAATTAGCACCATAGGTTATACATTGCATATGCCCATCAGCAGGAATTGCAAGATTGAGCGTGCCATTACCCATCGCCTCGAATGTTAATACTAAATTATCGTTGGCAGTTGGCGAGCTCAAGGTTTTTGACGCCGCTGTTCCCACTACTCGGGTAAGTCAAAGGCAAATTTGCAGCTGACAAGGTTTGCGAGATCTTCGCATTACGTCCTTAATATTTAATTTGACTAGTTATGCTGCATGTACGTACTTTGTTCTTCGGAGCTTTGTAAAGCGGGAGCATTTCAAATTTTGGGAAGGGTAACAAGGCACTACTTAGTTGAATTTTCCGCGTAGAATATCTGAGCTCGGGTGCCTCACAAGATGGTACGATTCTCATTTTTTTTATTTCATGCTTGGCCTCATGGAGAGACATGCCAATGATCATCACCAGAAATATATTTCGTGGTCGCATCATAATGTGTATGGCAAGTAAAAAAATCAGAAGAGAGAAGGAAAGAAGTCATCGCATCTAGAACTACTGAGTTTTGAGAAGAAGGTCGGCGAAAGCTCCAGCCCAAACCCAAAAGCCGAACCAAGCATTGCTGAGGAGGGTAGCATCGCAGCTCTCCTTGTTTTCAAAGTCTGTCCTGGCGAGGAGTCGGGCGAGGTGAAGTGCACCCATGGCAACACCACAGAAGAATGGCCAGCCATGTCCGTTGCAGTATCCGGCGTAGGACACCAGAGAACAAACAACGGCGGAGAACATGGCGAGAATAGGGCGGATTTGATCACCAAAAATGATCGTGGTCGAGCGCACACCATATTTGGCGTCTTCATCTCTGTCCTGAATTAATTTCACTGTATGAGCCGAAGAACCCGGAAGCAAAAGAAGATCCTTACTTGACGAGCGTAAGAAGTGTCGTACACAATGGTCCAGTTGGCAGCGCCGAGGTACAGAGGGATGTACACATGCCAGTCAACTGCACCAACAACCGAAGCCGCGCCCAGTAGTGCTCCCCAATTGAAACACAAGCCTATCAGGTGACTCATCAATCACCGCGGTGGTCCTGGAACTCAGTATAACATACCAAGCACTGCCTGCGGCCAATTGGTCACACGCTTCATGGCAGGATACAACACCACCAGGCCCAGGGACGAAAGTCCAAGTCGCAAGCTTGAAAAAAAAAATAGAAATGATAAATATGCAGACCAACATATTATTTTTTTTACAAAAACCCAACACACCTGTATTCATTCAACTGCATCAACAGCCAGATGCCAAGAGCCAGCTGTGGGATAAGAAAGGCGAATGCCCCGAACATCGAGACATCACCCGAAGCCAAGGGCCGCGTGCTTGTTCGCGCTGGTAGTTAAAGTGTTATTGGGAGCCACCACTTGACTGAATGTAACACTTACGAACGGCAGCGTCAACGTCTTTGTCCCACATGTCATTGATCACGCAGCCGGCAGAGTGGAACACTTGGGCGGCAGCAAGGAACAAACCAACATATGTCCACACCGTCGAGACGGGCGCGTTGTTTGCGTAGCAAGCCATGGTGACCGACCACGCTAATTATTATTGCTCAAGTCAACAACAAATAAACTAACGCCACAAAAACTGCTCACCACATGGATAGAACAGCAAGAGCGTCCCGGCAGGGTTGTGAACTCGTGCCAGATAGAGGTAAGGACGTATGTTGGATGGAAAAAGGTCCACCCAAGTCCTATCCGAAGACAAGTGTTGAGAGTGCTGCTTAACGGCTGTTGATTTGACCTCCATGGCAAATTTGGCGAATGGTTAGATGCAATAGAAGAGAGAAGGATGACGGGCTTTTATACCCTTCCATCTTGTTCGCTTCAAGACAAAAGTGAGAAAATTGAAATATGACATAGCTAGCCCATCGTTCCACACAGTTAATCAAAAAGGGGGTGTCCTTTCCGAACAGGACAGCCGAGGAAGGATAACAGCCCTATCATAGCCGAGTTTGAAAACCGTATAGTGCGGCTCGGCCCCAACAACGAGTCCCTGAACACATGTTAATTACTAATCAGTTCTAGTGGCAAGACCTCAACCACCGCTCAATAAGCATATTTCCTCGCCAAGTATTCTTCGAAGTTCACCGCCTGCAGCTGTTCTGCACTGTTCTGCCATATTCGCCGCTTAAATGTCCCATTGCCCCTCGCCGAGCTAACTGCTCCGAAGGCTCCCCCCCTCGCGCTTTCACTTCCTACAGCCTACAGACTCATCAGCACCGACAAACACCATAACCTCAGTGGGAGTCACCGCATCGACGTTTATGGTCGAGCGCATTCCTTGGGGCACTATTTGACCTCTTCAGCCTGGTGTCATCGTTTCCCTCGTGTTTCTCACCCTCATGCAGAACTTGGGTGTGCACTGTGTAGTGTAGCATCTTAACAGCGTTTGTCCTTTACATATGATGAAATTTTCATCATGAAAAAACTTAGGCTTTCGTGTCTTTGGTTTGCTGGGTGAGATGAGGATGCAACATAAATTTATGACTGCCGACATGACGGGAACATGTATAGCAGGGTGGTGTATCAGGTGGAGCAGCGAGCTAGGCAAAGAAGAAAAATCCAGGATGTAGTGGAATGACTGGAGAAAGAATATGAAGGTCACACCAATATCGATAACAAGGAGGATCGGTGGGGAGAGTTAGTGAGGGAGGGGATGTTGACTGGCGCGACAAGGATCTGGCACTAGACCTTGATGTGTTGTTGCAAAAATGAAATCAACCAGCAGCGACGGCACAGCTAGGCTGCAGTTCCTAGGAATGAGCAAGCGGGATTGGTGTCAAGGGTTACGAGCAGGACGCAGAGAGATGGCGGCATTCGTGGTATTTTTGTTGGCAGAACTTGGGAGTCGTGCCAATCGGTTTGGCAAAACTGGTTGTGCTTGATCTACGGCAGTTAACTCGCGCGAAGGGAGGTGGCAGAACCTGGCAGTATTCCAGACTCGCAGAGATGTAACCGGAAACTTGCTGTTACGCAGGTCGCACTTGACATTGCAAAGTGGACATAGTGGCGAAAAAACCCTCGCATGACCTGCAGGCCTATATCAGTCAGTAGCTCCATTTGCTAGCGGCCAATCGGACGGCCTTTCTTGGTGGAAAAACCTTTCAATCAATTTCGAAATTAACCCACTCAAGGTCTACGATGGCATCTGGGACATGTAGGCGAAGTAGAACGCACATTCTCTGATCTGGGCACGACACGATCCACGCAACGGTATGATCTCTTTACAATTATGAGGATGGACGAGATAAGATTGATGTCATCGATGTTAAGAATGTCGTACACACCTATTTTGCCAGTTCTGCCGAAGCTAAGTTGCGCACGGGGTCCAACCTTTACTAAAGACTTCAGTTCAAAGATAGAGCGAGCCGATCTATTTCGGAATATTAATGGTCACTATGCCATCTCTGAGAGTCTCGAATCTTGCCTGTCTGTCTACCCTTCCTCTGTTTGCTTATTTCCTACCTGCTTGTCAACCACAGCACCATGTCATTTCCAGTCTACAGTCTACAGCTGCAACTTGAATGCCCTCCTTCCAAATGACTAGAACTGTGACGGCAAGCTCAAGAATGACGAGATTGGCATCACGGCTGATACAGTGGCGGCAGGGTGGCTGTGATAGCAGATACACCAGGAACTTTCCGATCACAGATACGCCCAGACGATTTTGTGCGGAGTCTACAAATTTTGTACAGACTGGCCCAACATGAAGCAAGCTCAAGGTTCGGCATTGAGTGTCGTTCAGGCATCGTTTTACGATCCCTGTCCAGTATAGTTTAGGATGAGCTGTATTCACTATCAGTCTGAAGCTGTCATCATAGAACTTCGTATTTCTGTTCGGTATAGTCTCGGACGAGCAATTATATTTACCGATCAGAGTTTTGACCCGTCGAAAATCTACTGTCAGCATCTTTGTTTGGTATAGTCTCGGTTGTATGGTGGACGCAAGCACCCGCGACTTATTTGGAAGCCCGATCGATGTATTACGAGCATACGCCGTAAATTTGTGTCACTCCCAACACGTTTCCTTGCTTGCAGCTCGAAGTATGGGCCAACCTTACTGATGAAAGAGTAAGCAGCAACAGACATGCCTGATCTGCCTCCGGGCTATGATATTAGTATGTCCATTAATCTCATCGTTGTGTCTTTTGTGCAACTAGTGAATGCACCGTGTGTCAGTATTTTAGTCATATCTAATTCCAATTGATCATACCAGATGGCGAATTTCCAGGGTAAGTCTTCGCAGTTTCAGACAAAAATAGCATGATAGCTACATAAAAATTTTCAGCCTGATAGGCTCGATATTGCATGTGGATTTCTTGGAAGATGCGCTTGCTCTCCCGAACAGGTCTACACTATCCACACTTACAACTACACTATCTCTAGTGTCTTGACGGCAGGCTCCAACGTGTAGCTCATAGAAGCCATATCTCTAAACCGCATTAATGTCACGATCCGGCGCGATCCACATGCACCAAGAGGCTATTCAAGGCGAACTATGGCCGCTCAAATACAGTGCTCGCGAGCGAAAATTTTCGGTTTGTGCAGCAGGTGAACCGTGACATGGACCTGTAGTATTTCTACGGTACCGACCTCCATGTGTCGATGGAAGTTATGCTTTTGACTTGTGCAGTGAAGTCATCGTCCAACGTGATCCTGTTGTATTCTCTGACACGTTTCTGCGCTAGCAAAAATGAACCGAAAGGTTGTCCAAGGTGAGCCATCAACCGCAATGCTCGTGAGTGGGGCTCCAATGACTCCTCTGCTACAGGCGAATTGCCAGGTAATTTGTCAGAGTGGTCCATCTGCATCAGGCCTCAGGACTCGGTCCAATCTTATCATCTGCAAAGTCAACCTCCAAGAGATACCGATCCCACGGATGGACAAACAAGAACATTATTTATTGAATAGGATTCGACCGACCAGCAATATTATTCTCGATAATGAAAATCCATATTTGGATGAGGCAGTGAACAATGTTCTATCATATCAGCAAATCAAGAATCCGACCGAGTAGTGCTAGGCCCCCCTTTCGACCATCCAATTAGCTCCCTCATAGCGCGTACGCCCAAGGTCCCCTTACGTTTTGGCAGGTTCCAGCGAAGCGCGTATAGCTTCCTCCAAGTGATCGTCCCGAATTGGCGGCACGCTCAGCAGCTTGGCAATGCAGGTGTCTGCTCGGTCACCTTTGAGAACGCCCTCGTTCCGAGCCAGCCGACGATCGACGCTAGCATCGGTACGAAGTACAGCATGCATGCGTGCATCCACGCCGAGAACGTGAAGAGATTGGCCGGAATGGTCATCAGCCTCGCCTCAGGGGCGTATTTCATGCATCACGACAAGTCAGCGTCTGGAGGTATCGGCGCGACGATGCATCCTCACAAGGCCGAACACTTGATACTGTGGATGATCTTTCATGATCTCGTCGATTTTCCTCTCGGCCTCCAGTTTGGTCTCTGTGTCGCACCGATATAGCAGGCCTGTGGTCCTCCGCAGAAATGTAGACGAACGGGCGAACATCCGTAATTTCTTGGCTGGGTTTACTGGCAGTGAACGCTTCGCACATTCAGACGGCTAGTGCAACTTATGACGACGCGCCGTGAAGGTAACTCGGGCTCACCAGTATCGCGATTAAGTTTTTCATAGCTTCCTAGATGAGCCTACGAAATCCTTGTCGTGGAACTGTTTATTGCATTGTGTATTATCGAGGAGCGTGCCTATGGTGTGCACCATTGCATTGACGCCAGGTAGAATGTTACCATATGTGTCGGGATTCATGGTGTTAGCTTTCGCCATTCTACCTCGTGGGCTCTAATTAAGGCGTTATACGATATGAAAAAGGAGTTATTGCGAATGCACCTTCTCTACCCAGCCTGGTGTATGACTGTGACCTTTTGGGGTGCGATAAGGCATCCCAGATGAACTGAATATGTGATATGTGATATAGTATCCAGGAATTCGCTGCCGAGGCACGTGCTACACGCATGATCATTGATGAGTGTACGGTTTTGTTTGGTGAGCATCTCATTGTCATTGTTCAAGTGGCCGATGTTGCATGGCGTCATACAGGTGCTTGTGTCTTCTCGGCTACTGCTAAGTGTAACTGCCGTATCTGCAGACTTGCAGCAGCGCGGTAGCGCCTCTCTCGCACTGTGAGCTCATTTTGCATCCGTGCTACAGGTCTGTTGCCGAAATCTGTGACAATATCCTTTTCTGGGTGTGTCTTCGAGTTTAGGGATGGCAAGGTGACTTAGGTGAGTTTTTTTGTTTACTGGACCGTTTTTCGATGGATTGTAGCGCTCACTTAAGATATATCTCCGTGTGATGAGGGCCATTGTGCTTGATTTCAAATCGCCTTCGCTGTTTTTAGGTTTGGCCTCCGAAGGCTTCAGGGCTTTTGGGAGCTTTTGTATCCGGGTCTTTTGTTGCCGCAGCGGATGTGGTTCAGATGAAAGACCGCGATATTTGTGTTCTACTCAAATGTTTTTATTAAGGTCGGAGTCTGTAATACAAGAGGCGAAGCCCAGCTGGAGGCGTTCGCCCATGCTTCAGATGTTCATATTTCACACAATTCATCCATTGATGTCGGATCATCTTTTGGAACCAACCGTGTCTTTAAAATCACCAGCTGACTGTCACACTGACTTGTCTGCAAAGGCCTTTTACTGTCCCTACCAATGTGTATTAGCAGCTCTTCCCTCAATAAAGTCAAACTTTCGTGTGACTCCTCATAAACACTGATCGAGACATGACTGGAGAGTGGGCGGCCGTGTAGGGTGATAACGAGGTCCGGCAAGCACGAGGCTTATTGACGGTGGCGCTGTCGGACCAGGCTATAATAGAGGGAATCAAAGGTACGAAAGCAAATTTGGATGTTACCGCACCCGCAGTACTACAGCCAACACACTTTTTCTCAGCATCAACGAGGCAGAAGCATGTCAGAAGAGTGATTTCGCATAATTGCAGGTTCCTTGATCCATTAGGTAATATGAGGTGCGGATATGTAGAAATGTAGCGAACCTCATTGCTGGACCTCGACTATCACCTGAGCGTTCTTGCAAACCAGTCTAACTCGAGCTGTCAATGACCTGGTCGATGATTAATGAGCGCCGAGCGGCTAAATTTGACGGAGATCCGAACCAGTGTGCGACTCGGTACCAGCGCTAGTGTATGAGTATTTTATGCGCGCCAACATTTCGCCCACGGGTACATACACCCCCCTCTAGTCCAGTAGGCACAAACTAAGTAGACCTTTACTACCTGTTCCCTATGTCATACAGCAACGCATCAAGTACGGCAGTAGACAGGCGGACAAGTTCGATTCCAGTGCCAGTGTAAGAGTTTCCATCTTTCTCGCGTTTCAAATATTCAGGAGGATGTGTCCTTGATTTGGTTCAGATATCGTCATGCAGCACCCTCGGGACCATGGCCTTGGGTGGATTTCAACACCGACCTTTCATCCTCTGACTCGTCATTTGAAAAAGGCAAACATGAATGGCGTGGATACCCGCAAGAGCTTTTCGGCAACTGGACTGCAACTCCAGTGGCACGAAGTGAGATGTTAAAACGATGTCCGCGCAGCAACCCATGCATCATATATGGCATTGACGTAATGAACAACGGTCAATTCAAAACACTGGATCGCATTGAGATGTCGGAAGAGAATGAAGACGGACTTTGGTCAAAATTAAAGAAGGAGGAAAGTATTGTGCTTACCCCATCTCACCAAGCTTGTTAATGAGTGACAATTGATCAGGTTCGGGAAAACGTCTGTGTTCGAGCGTTGTTCGTGGACAACTTGTCCGAATCCGTTTTGAAGATGCTGGGGACGAGGTTCGTACTCCTGGGCCGGCTTCAACTTCGGCACTGAAATTTCCTTTTTTAGGTATAACATCGAGCCATTTTTCTTTTCATCCTCCACAAACTGGATACCCTCGCGATACCGGGAAGACGTTCGACATGGAGAGGGGGATCGTACGTTTGATGACTGCCTTTTGGTCCAATGGTTGTTAATATGTTGTTCCGGGTAGATATCACAGTTATCCTTCCTTTTATTCGGACCACGGGGAGGAAAAGCAAGTCACAATCTAATCCTAGCTTATCCGGTATGAGTTTGTCATTTGTTCGATAGTCGACCGTTTCTCATCACAAAATATACAGAACGGAATAGGAAAGATACCATAGATGTCATGCTACCCCTTCAGTTAGACGACGGTAATTCGCACTTACTTTTACCGCACAGTTTTGTCTGAGTCCTTTCATAGGCGAACATCATTTCCATGTCCTTCTCATCGATCTTCTGGCAATTCATATGATTCGAAGCAAGGATTCCGCTACAATCATATCGTATCATCCTGTGCTGCATGATCGCACTACTGCCGAGCTCTTGCATAAGGTCATGGAACGCGCAGGTGGAAGTGTTTACTGGAATAAAATATTCAAGGCATCTGAAGATCCAACCTTTTTCTTTCTGGCAATCTTGTGGTACGCGCTGTATGCGTGGGATGAGGCATTTGAAGTGCTGTATAACCGCATCAAGAATGTGGTATGTACACAATCTGTCCGAATTGTGGGGAATGCTCATCATGTCCAGGAGGTAATCTTGAACGGCCACGACTTCTCCGCCATGTTCAACCTCAACTATACCCTTCACAGCTTTCAGGCGCACCTCCTCCAGTATCAAACCCTCCTTCATGATTTCGAATTATCGGTCACATTTGTTATGGAGTCTCCAAACCCTGCAATGGAACATTCACAAAATAAGGGCACTACGGAAGAGTTGATGCAACGAGAATGCAAGAACCTCCTTTCCGAAATCGACAGGTTACACAAGAGATGTTCGATGTTCATCAATCGGTTAAAAAATGCCACAGATTTGGCATTCGCCACTGTAAACATCGAGGATAGTCGTCAAACGTTCAAGTTAACGAGGGCGACCCTTCGAGACTCTGCAGCGATGAAACAGGTGTGCTGGTAGTCACATGTTACATATGCACTGACAGAGCTCATGCCTTCTGCAGATATCATACCTGACCATGATCTTCTTGCCCGCCAGTTTTACTGCTGTACGTGTTTGGATGTATAATACGAATAGGAGCGCTCACTAATTGAACAGTCGGTCTTTGGGATGAACGTGCGCGAAATCAATCCCGGCTCCCTAGAGTCGATCACACGCTATGTTTGGGTGTCTTTCCTGCTGACTTTTGTCACAACGTGGGTTGTCATCGCTGTACAGCCATACAGTACAATCCACAAGTCTGAAGCCAGCTTGTGGCGGAGGGCTATTTGGCCTGCACTTTACATCCCCCAAAAAGTTATTGAGTACTTCAGGTCCTTCTTGGTCAAGGGCAAGAAGACGTCGCTGCAGGAAAACAATATCTCCTTGGGTTCATATCGCAAGAAAGGTGATTCTTCTGTTTTGAGGTTCGAGGACGCAATGTATGAAGAGGGTGCGATTGGTACTTCGGTATAGTGAGTGTCTGCGGATAGGATTACACTTTAGAAAGCGAGGGCCCAAGTTTCCCATTGCAATCCATTTTTCAATTACAACAAGGTAGAACATAGTGCACGGACTATATACATACGTACATACCGTTAATGTCATGGTATCATTCATATGCCCCAACATTTCATTCTACATGATTCTTGTATTATGACTTGCGCTTGAGCACAGGTAAAATATTACCCTTCCGAATGCGGAATACGTAGGTGAGAGTGAAAATTGCAGCGACCTTGGAAAATAGATTCTTTCGTGAACACCCAGAGTGAGTACCAAGGGACGCGACTCACATTAAACAAAGTGACACCAAGCATGATACCAACGTCACGCCAGCGGTGAGAATACTCGATATTGAATCCAGTATACATGTACTGGTCCGTCGTCTGGAACGGACAGTAGAGGCAGCTCGATGTCGCATTGGGGTTCGTTATATAGCCACCCGCGTAAGACATGAAAGGATCCATGTAATCAGCACACGTGAGTCCTGAGGGAGGAACAATTGGAACAAGTTCCGTCGACGCGCAAACAATCGCCTGTCCGCTGACCGCTAAGAACAAGTTGAGCTCAGTACCGAAGCCAAAACCTAATCACAAACCTTGACCGAAAAGGCCTTCAATGAGATAGGTGAAAGGCGAAACCCTATACATCCACCGCCACCAACCCAACGCACTGAATGGCTGCAGGACACCGTTACTAGACCATAAATCAGTAAGCAGCGATGTTATCAGCTAAGAAATTTGACTTACAATATGACAACAAATGCGAAGAGCGTGCTGAACAACAATGAAGCAATAAATGCAGTTGGAGCCATGGAAGCTATTGCGAGTGCGATCGTCGTGTAATAGAGCGGGAATATGACTCCATACATCAGGTAGGTGTATCCGGCCCGGTCGTTGTAGAATCCAACTGACCAGTACCAGCAAACAAAGAAGATCGACGAGCAGAAAATGTTCCAAGGTATCTCGACGAGGATTTGAGAGGTGACGAGAGCAGTCCATTTGTACATCCTGCTCTGGCGCTCCCGGACTTCGTAAATCGAGCGAATGTCGATGTAGACCGCCTGCATCTGTTGAGAAAGGGGGACACATAAAATCGTGGCCAAGAAAAAGGACTATGAGACCAATTAGCCAACAAAACCACTTCATCGAATGTCGGAAGTCATACAAAGAGTTTGTTTTGTGTACCCTGGAGGGAATTTTTCGTATTGTAGAATGTGAAACCAATCAACAGACCACCAGCGATGTTGAGAACGAGCTTTCCCATCAAGTAGGTTGGATTCCGCCAATATGCTTGGAAGTTGCGCTGTGTAAGAGCAATGGTCTGGTGCTTCCATGAAGTAGCAAACTGTGTGCGTAGTTCTGTCTGAACAACAGGACGAGATCGACCTTCAGTGTGAATGCGTCCAAGCTCATCTTCAAGGGCAGCAGCTTCCGGCGAAATTCGCCAGACATTATGCCAATCAACAGACGTGTTCG